ACTTTGACTTTAGTTAGTAGAGATATGTTAGTTTGGCTTTAGTTAGTTAGTAGAGATATGTTAGTTTGGCTTTAGTTAGTTAGTAGAGATATGTTAGTTTGGCTTTAGTTAGTTAGTAGAGATATGCTAGTTTGGCTTTAGTTAGTTAGTAGAGATATGTTAGTTTGACTTTAGTTAGTTAGTAGAGATATGCTAGTTTGGCTTTAGTTAGTTAGTAGAGATATGTTAGTTTGGCTTTAGTTAGTTAGTAGAGAAATGTTAGTTTAACTTTAGTTAGTAGAGATATGCTAGTTTGACTTTAGTTAGTAGAGAAGAGTTAGTTTGGCTTTGTTGACAACAGCCAAGAAAATACTTGTCCTTTCAGTCGTGGAGTGGGGGATAATCCCACTATTCTTTGGTAACAAGTAGCCCAAGAGTTGGCGGTGGGTGGTTTTCACTAGCTACCTTCCCCCTAGTCTATTAATTCAAAATTAGGAACGACCAACTATAGTTAGATCTCGAGTATTTTTCCGCGAATTTGCAGTTTCCACAAGTTAAAAATAAATACCTACTCCGCAAGTATTCACCAAACTCATCACAAGATTAACGAAAGTAAAAAAAAACCTACAAAAACATCTGTTTTTCGGCAATCATTCACTAATGCTGTCTCTTAGAAAGAAAAAACAAAAACGGATCCATTCAAAGGTAAAATTACAAATTGATAACGTAATATATGATTAGATATTGTTCACAAAAATTAATCTAGTGTTTGTTAAAGCTCTTACCGGTTTCAGTTTGATATTTTTGTGTTTCAAGAGAAAGTAGGCCACAAAAATTCCTACGCAATATGGCCCCATACGACAGTACGGTTTGATGTAAATCGTCTTGAATTGATCCATTATTGTCCTTCAAAAAATGATGTTATTCAACATATTCAAAATATCCATTTTAACATCTTGTTTTTAAAAGTTCTTGAAACAAAGAATTCACTAAACCAACATTGTTTTATAGAAGCATTTATAAAAATGTTGCCTTAAAAAGAAGTGAATTAACACGAGTAAACCTGAAGTGTTATGCTTCATATTTTTATTCATTTATGAATATAACAAATAATAATTCGGGTATATTTCAGGTATCTTACACAAAAAATAACTTTGTTAGTAAGTTATTAATTTATTATTTAATTATTTAATTTAAGTTATTAATTTTTCTATCAGATGTCGCTTTTGGTGTTTACTAATAAGTACATTGAAATACTTTAATTTACTCAGCAAATAGGCTAAAGTGATCGCTTATGAAATCTGATTAAATCAATTGTGTCTAAATCGGAAGTGACTATGGTTAAATCAGATTATCTCATTAAACCGATCGTGTCAGAATCGGAAGTGACTAAAATTAAATCAAATTATCTCATTAAACCAATCGTGTCTGAATTGGAAGTGACTAAAATTAAATCAAATTATCTCATTAAACCAATCGTGTCTGAATCGGAAGTGACTATGGTTAAATCAGATTATCTCATTAAACCGATGGTGTCTGAATCGGAAGTGACTATGGTTCAATCAGATTATCTCATTAAACCAATCGTGTCTGAATCGGAAGTGATTATGGTATAAGTCACTTAGTTTTAACTTTACATTAGTTATGAACTGGTAAGATAGCTCAAAGACAAACTTTTTAAAATGATCTTGTATTCACCAGGAGCAACTGAGTTAATTCCACGTTTCAGTCCTAATGACTCTGATACTTCTAGGTTTTTATCACTTAACGTTAACTTTATATTCACCAGTAACCATTACTTTTATATGGTGCCCGTCTGAATCTCTTACTGGGACAGCACTTCGTTAAAAGTCAGCTTATGCAATTTTGTCGTAAAGAAAACAAAGAAATAAGTCTTACTTAATGTCTCCACCTAACACACCATAAGGTGGGAAGTCATTCACGTAGTTCAAGACACCTGGTGTTATTGTGGTTCCCAGAAGAAACAGGAAGTTGATGATAAGTCCTGCAATTGGCTTTCTGAGGAAGAATACCATTTTTAAATATAGTACACAGCAAATGTTGGGTGAGAAGACTAATGAACACAAAATACTTTGTTTTTTAAAGAGTTACTGCAAGACAAAATACTTTGTTTTTTAAAGAGTTACTGCAAGACAAAATACTTTGTTTTTAAAGAGTTACTGCAAGACATAATACTTT